TACTAAGTTGATCAAGAATATTAAGGAGATAGTTTTTTGGTTTAAGAAGAGACCATCCTTAGTACAACTGACCTTTATACCAAGAAAATAGGAGACTTTGCCAAGGTCTTTAACTAAAAATTCACGTTGAAGTGATTAAATAATATGTTACATAACATGTGTAGAAGAGCCTGTGATAATGATATCATTAACATATACAAGAAGAAAAACAATAGAAGTTTTTTACTTGTATATAAATAAAGATGTGACATCCTTTGAATCATGGAATCCAAATTAGAGTAAAAGGTAATGAAGCTTCTTAAATCATTCCCTACGAACCTGTTTGAGATTGTATAGAGATTGAGCAAGTTTACAAACATAATCTATTTTGGAAGGATTAACAAATCCTCTTGGCTGGTCCATTTAAATATCCACATTTAAATAGCTGTGCAGGAATACATTGAAAACGTCTATTTGTTACAACAATCAACCTTAAGTAGTAATATAGGCAACAATAATGCGAATGATGGTTGTTTTGATCACTAGACTAAAAGTCTCTTTAAAATCAATACCAGATTGTTAGTGATATCCTTTGGCAACTAAGCATGCCTTGTATCTATTAATTGAGTCATCCAATTTTATTTTTTTTTTATCTTGTACACCCACTTATTCCCAACAGCATTAACATCAGGGGGCTTTGGCACTAAATTATAAATATTTTTAGTTTAGAGTGAAATGATTTCTTCATGCATTGCATGTTGCTGTTGAGGTAAGGACTTAGTTTAGGGGTAGGTTTATGGTTCTGTTTAAAGATAGTCTACTTTATTGTTGGATTTAAAGGTAAGGAAAGAAGAGTGTTTTGCAAGAAATATGAGACATAAAGTCACGGGATGGGTTCGGTTAGGATATGGTGATCAGGTAACAACATGATTATTTGGTAGTTAGTGATTTGATAAGTCTAAAATAAGATTTAGGTTCTCAAGAATAGGAGATAAAGGATTATTAGAATTTCGGTTAGGTGAGGATATACAGATATCAGGAGCGGAGGATATTTGAATTTCTGGTAGGAGAAGATAAGAAAGTATTAGGTGGGGGAGATTGAGAGGATAAGATATGATTGTTTTAGTTGATGATAAAATGGGGATGCAGTATTCAAGGAATCATATGTCATTGAAGGTTGAAAATTAGAATAAGTAACCACATCATATTGGAATTTAGTGGATGAGTTCTAAATATTAAGCCACGCTGAAGAAAGGGAGGGAGGCATGATTTGCATAGAGTCCTTATGTGACCGAAATAGAAAACTGCTATCACCAAAGGTAACGTGTTAGGCTATGTAGACTTTACAAGATTATTTGTTCAAGTATATGTGTCCAAAATGATTAGTTGAAGGACCCAAATAAATGCATAGTTGACTTTTAAAAGAAAATTTGCACCAATTATAGGGTTTTTGTAAGGTAAAGACATTTGAACAAAAAATGTATAATTTTTAAAAATTAAATTATTTGTGAAATAATTTAGTATGTGAACTAATACCATTCAAAATTTTAGTTAGCAATAAATTGATAGCATATACAGCTGTTAGAAATGCAAAGCCATAACTAAAAAGGAACACCACTTTGAGCTAAAAACGTGAGATTTGTGTGTCAACAATGTATCTAAT